TTTGAGTGGATTCACATAGCTTTAAAAAAAGTTCCTAGTTCCTTTACTCATGTAGCTAAAACCCTGAGATTCAAAGGATACTGAAATCTGTGTTCAACATGCACCACTGTGCTTGAAAAAGTGCTCTTACAGTATAATCCTGTCAATATATCAGTTCCAGAAATTACTTGTAGTTCCTGTTGCCAGTGCTATCCTTTGAAGCAAGCACTTTATGAGCTGAGGTAGCGAAACATCTCTTTGTTAACTATCTGAAAGATCTGCAAGCAGAAAATGTTACTCCGGAAGCTATGGTGCACAAATAATACAAATAATAAAGCAGAGCCAGAATTCTAGAAGCATTTCCAGCAACTGTACCCACAGATTCTACTTGGAGTGAGACTGGACTGCCTCAGTACAGAAAAACAAGGGATTAAGCATCACAAGATAAAGGCAATTCTCATTTCCTATTCATAGATAGGGTTTAAGAAGTTCCCCAGAAACCCTCTAGATAGCATCTCTTGCTTTGGGGTACAGGCTTAATAGTTCCTGCTGCCACCACCTATTTTCTAGGAGGTGCATTATCTGACATCCACCCACTAATCCCAGTGTGTGAGAAAGATAGAACTTTACAACCTGTGCTCCCTTTCTGGTGATTAAAAGATTTTTAAAAAGGTTTTTAAAAATGAATTAATTTTATAATATCACCTCCTGGCCATGTAGCAGAAAGCCATGTGGCTACAGGATTTAGCCTCTTCTTCCCCCACTTGGGAGACAGACCAATCTCACAAGGGATAAAAGAAAAATCTAACTTTATTAAAAGAAAAAAATGAAAAAGAAAATAGCTTTAAATATTAAAAACCAAACAGTCACCCCTGTAAAGATAAATTACTGAGCTGTTCAGATCATGGGAAAACAGCAACTGGCAAATTCAACAAGAAAAATCCGAAAGGAATAAAATGCTTCAGTCAGACCATAAGATGGCATTGGTCTGCTGCAAATGATGTGATCCCTACTACAATAACAAAAGAAAAATATGGAGGATTCCAAATTATATTACAGATCACAATTATAAAGAAAAATTATATGTATGATTCAAGGTTGATACAAAACCCCAATTTTCTAAGTTCAGGGAAACATGAACATGAGACACTGAGACTTGCATCACACAGAAACATAAATTAAGAAAGTAACACAAATTTCTAGCTAAAACCTGTTACTTCTTTCTACAGAAATAGAATCCCCCAGAAGCAAAGATCCTCTGCTTCCCTTCCCTTTTTCCTTTTAATCAGAGGTAGTGGGGAGATGGTAAACTCCACTCTTTTCCAGTCCAGTAACTCTTGCCCCTTATTCTTAAATGATATATTTTTTTCTATCTCTAGCAGGAGGAATTGGGGTAAAATCACTATTAACAGTCTTGTACAAGAAACTGTACTCTTTTGAGAAGACACAGATTGATCATCCTGTATGAAGAGATGGCATACATAACCACTTTTAACAATAAACTACAATGGCACTTGAAAACACTGCTTTAAACTCAAATATAAAATGGAAATATTAATTAAAAAAAAAAACAAAATAAAACCACAAAACCCTTGATGGATAAGAATAGTTATTCACATCACCACAAATATCCAGGAGGAATGATAATGACTTTGAACTTTTTGTCATGATTTAAAGAAAAAAAAAAACTGGTGGTATTCCAAAGGATATACCCTAGATAAGTGTTTAACCAGAGAGATCCCTAAAATAAAGTGCTCTAAAAAAGTACAGCTTTTTCCACCACAATAAGTTTCCATCACTCTCTTTTAGTAAATCAGTAACATTATATTCTCATGGGGGGATATTGCTTCCACTGGGAAAACCCGAATCTCTGATGATCAAAAACCCTAAGCTAATACTCTAAAACCTACTTTTGTTGTTAGCAAACCTACACAGAACTTTAAAGCCTGAAAGTTTTAAACCTCCAAACAAAATACATCTAGCCAATGTACTAAGGGCAAAACTGAATTTTTATTTTCTGTGAATCTCTCTAAAAACAGCTTTCTCTAACCCAGTGCCTTCCGAATGTACTGCAACTGCATCTCTCAGAATGTATGGGGAAAGACTGCAGGAGCTTTTTGGCCTGGTTGGAAGCAAAACTCCTACCTTTTTCTTCCACTAGAAGAAAGGGAGATTCTTGTGGAGGCTGCAACCTCAAAAATTCTTTCCCTGAGGGGAAAGAAATGGGAAGGGATAATCCTACAGCTACAACTTGGTGCTCAGTGTCAGAGATCCATGTACATGTAGACAGTGAAGCCTGCACATTCCTTGCTTCTCTTTTTTGCAAGGAAAGGAAACCGGTGCTTTTCTGTAGAGAGGCTCAGTAGTCCACTACAAAGAACCACCAAAGTCAGCAAAGGCATTCCATTGTTGCAGAAGAAGAGTAAAAGAAGCCCCATACTGGCTGGATTTATGCATCACATTAAACCACTGTGGCTTTTTCAACAAAAGGGGATTAAAGCAAATTAATCACTAACCATGTATCACCTAGTTAATTCTAATAGGTCTGAATACTTCTTTTTTTGCCTCTCCCGCAAAAAGGGTTGGAGAGGATTACTTTAATAATTACTTAGAATGGAGTGGGTGTTCTGGTTTGAAACATATGTATTGATCCAGCAAGAAGAGAGGGATCTAGCAACCACAGTAGCTGGCTTTATAACAACCACCCAAAGTTGGACCCTTCCCATTTCTCTGCCTTACATTTTACTGTCTAAATTCTTTTCTGTGTTTTTCACTTGAAAACATACAACTGAATAACAATTGTAACCAGATAAACAGTATCCACACAGATATAAAAAACAATTCTTATTTTCTTTAAAACAGCTGCAATTTTAATAGACTTCACAAGCTTGCTAAGAATTGGAGACTATCATCCTTTTAAATAAAAAGTTGTAATGCTTTTTGAAGTTGAGGCTCCATTTGGGGGAAAGTAAAAATACATACAAAGAACAGTACAATTTTATTTACGTAAAAGCTTTTAGTGTTGGGTTTTGATTTAGTTAGGAATATGCCCCATTCAACTAATTAAGTTTTATTTCTGAGCAGAGATTCATAGAAATCAGGTTCACACTTTGCCATGGCTTGTTTAATGACAGAATTTTGATTAAACTATAATTGTCTAGGTTCATACAACATATTACTTTAAACAAACTACTAGAATTAGTGCAAAATGAGAACCCAATCACAAGACTGCATATTAAGATTATGAAAAGCAAATGTATTAATCAGCTTATTAATGAACAGATGTCTATATAATAACCCCAAACCTCATGTCTACCTTCAACAGATAACTTAGTATGTTATATAAAGTGTATGGTTAAGCAAATCATTGTTTTAATATACTGAATTTTTGTCTGTACCTCCTTCATTTCAGTTCCCTCTTTCCACATCATATTAATTACACCCAGCTATAGCATTTATATACTCCTCTATTGAGATAATACTGTATACATTTGATGAAATCAATTGTAGTTAATAACAGTTCACCTCATATTTGTTTGCCACAAGACCCCATTTTTGCTACTTGTTTTCCATTTGAACAGTAAGATGCATTAAAGATGTTTATTACCTAATGTTTGGATCTCCCACACCCATGCATCTACAATTACTTGTTTATTACTTGTTGATTTTAAGTTTTTAAGTCATGTAAGCACATGAGAGACCTTGGGTGGTTTACACACTGCATAAAAGCAAAGCTTGTTTAAATAAATCACAATTGTACTTTATAGGGCAATTTTATGAATGTTTACTGAGAAATAATTTCTAAGATCAGTGGTGTTTATTTCCAGATAAGTGAGTCTTGGGATGCCCTCCGCGAATGTTACAAACCTTATGTATGTGTAACTGACTGAATAGAATTTGTTTTCAAAGACTGAATTCATATATATTTCACATAAACAATTCTGCAAACTATGAAAATGCTGATTTATAAATGGGGGAGTGAAATTAAGAATTAAATACCTGACCAAGACATTCCACATGCCTGTGACAAAGAATAAATGTTAATCTTATTCAAGCCCAGCTGCTTTACCATGAAAAAGCACAGACCTAATATAATATAAACATATGCATGACATAATGCCAATCAATAAGTAGATATTATTTGGCTATTGTGATGCTATCTTGGGCTTCAATTTAAAGAATACACTAGAGTGAAAAAACTGAATCATTTGTCTTCATGCACTGTTCTTTCATGTTGTTGCCGCAATTTGATTAATATTTGTAAAAATCAAGACCATCCTATCTCCCACTGGTGATGAGGTTGCATACTGCACTGAATATGGTTTGGAGATGATGACTTTCAAGATTGTTTCCAATGATAATTCTACAACATAATGGCCCTTTAAGAAAAAAGAAAAAAGAAAGAATTGTTTCAAAACTACAGCCTAAACTCAGCAACCCTCTCTAGTGAATATATCACCAATTCAGGATCCTGAAAGCCTGAAATTGTATATGCCAAACATTTTCAACTTGATACAGTGAAGAAAACTTACATAGCACTAATCTTCCCATCTCTCCATGAATGGACTGTACACAAATCCTGAGTGAAAGAAGCACAAATGATGTACGCTTGGGCAGGATCCTTCAAACACTCTTATTACACTACACTTATTCCACTAGTTGCTTCCTTGGGACACAAAGTTAGCTTTAAGTATATTATTTTGCAGCTATAAACTGGAACCACCAAATCCTCATTGCTCCGGGATTGACAGTCTTCATTTCAGAATTCTCCAGATGCGTTGGCAAGATCGCTGTCCAAATCTTCAGTTAGCGTGATCATCTGGCTGAGAATCCTACGAATTGTAGCCCTACCCACCCGGAGGGCACCAGATCACAGAAAGCTGCTCCAAAAAAAAATGAAGAACTACCTTTCCAATTGCAGGATAAGTTGCCTCCCATTTTAAACCGGAATGGGAGCAAAACTCGTACTCAGCCCCCTGCGATCCCCTGCCCCTTTAGCTCTTCCCTCTAACGGTTCTCACCTTGACGAAAGGGCTCTTCTCCTTCTCCTTCTCCATTGGGTGCCATTCAACCACCTCCAGAGGGCGAGAGGCCGGGGGAATCCGGGCAGAAACCGTGGAATTCGCTGTTCGGCCGGAGGAGACCGCACGAACCGGTAACCCCAGCAACCTCTGCAAGCCCGCCACCCTCCTCAAGGCCGCCATGGTCAACAATCCAACCGGAAGCGGAAATAGTTTTTCCGGAAGCTGCGCGGGGAGGGGGAAACGAAATGCCTCACGCTCTTTTCGGTCAGGGTAGCGCTAGAAGACGTCCGAGTCCGACTAATGTCTCGGAATTGCGGGGAGGAAGCATATTGAAAACCCCGATAGAGAAGTCGAAAAAGCTTCTGTGACGGTGTATGACTAAATACTATTTAGACTGTTGGAAAGTGGTAGTGAACTCCAAAGGTTGCTTACTAATAGAAATAAGGGTTCCGCTTACGGCTTTCTCTTCTAATGAGCCAGCTCTGCTGCCTGGAATTTGCATTGCAAAGGTATTAGGCTTGACAGGAGAGTAATAGATCAATTATCCCAGCTACCTTTTATTCTGAAGGAGAATGTTTCAGCCTGTAACTTTAGTTTAAAAGGTATGTTTCAGCCCAACTGTTTCTATCAATATTCCGTATTACAGCTATTACTATTGTTGTCCTATTTATTTAATTCTACGCAGAAATAAGTCTCATGCATTCATTGGGGTGGGAGATTACTCCAAGTACGACACCCTCGTGATTCCACAATGGCAAAAATGACTTAGAAAGGAGGAAACAGGTAAAAAATATCCTTGATGCCTGCTCTAGCAGTATTCTTTTGTCAAGGCCAGTGCCGCTAAATACTATTTAATATTGTTAATGAATTATGATTGATCAGTTTGTAAGCCTCTGATATTTTTTACATCATAAAAGAAAGGATACAAACAATTGCAATAAATAATTTAAAACTTCCGTTTGCCCAACATACTAGGCTAAAGGGTTTTGTGGGTTAGTGCATTATGCAAACTCAGCCCCTGCAGTTAGTGTATATGTGTGTGATGCGCGGCCCAGACAATTATATTAATCCAGAAACTCATAGTTAATGTAGGGTCCGCATAGTGTGGAAACCCAACACCTTTTGCAAAGGGTTTTGCAGACAGAAGCCGATCTTTCTAGGTTTGAACTAACAAAAATATAAGCGTCTGTCACGAAGAAACAAAACGAAAGCAGAGCAAACTATCAGAGCAGATCGGGACCAGTTCAGCTAGCTGGCGCGAGAAAAGCGAGCGGAGAACCAGAATTTGAGCGACGGAGTCTCTTACCAATCGTAACCCAGAGTGGGCGGTCACTGCGAGGGAGTGCGAGCCAATGGGCGCGCGGGGGTGGGTTTTCGTGCGTGCTGGGGGAAATGAGGAAGGCGGTCGGACGCTCCGGTGTCACCGACGACAACGGTGACGAAGAGAGTCTTGGGAAAAGGCGGGGGAGGGTGGCCTGGAGAAGCGACGCCATTTTGAGAGGCGAGTCGGGTGGCTGAGCGACCGCTCCAGCGGTCAGTCCTCTTTCCGTCCCTTTCGGGCGCTGGAGAAGCATTTGCCAGGTGAGCGCGACGGCGTGAGAGGCCGGGCGCGCCGGGGAAGGTGGGGCTTGGCGGGCCTGGACGGGGCGGTGTGGGCTGGGTCTCCCCCGGGCTTCAAGGCTGACAGGCTGGGCCCTGGCAGTCCCGGAGAAAGCGGCGTTCCTCTGGTTCGAGAAGAAAATCGCCGCCTAGTCTTGGAGCCCTTTAAAAGGCCGACAGATTGACTCTGGCGTAAAGTTCCTTGATCCAAAGCCCGCTTGGTCTTCCGCGCCTGAAATGCTCTCCAATTTTGCCCCCGTAGCCGAATACAAAGAGGAGGGGGAAACCTGCTCAGTAGTTGGGCGAAAAGCTGCTGAAGAGAGAGGCCCGTAGGTTCGCCACAATCCTATGTGTGTATGAAGAGCAACATGTGTTTGTGGTACGTTAAGCACAAACATCGATTGTGGAGCAAGTTTCTGAGGTCTAGAATCCGCTTTCTCTGGTGAATGGAGGGGCAGATACTGCGAAATACTGGCTTCAAAGCGGAAACGTTGAAAATAGAGGAGCTAAACGGCCAGGAAATGCAAGAGAGGCAGTCAGTCTGTGACACTGAGTATATGAAGTATGATAAGGAAGGACCCCTTGTTTGCCAATTGCTGATAATCTTACTCTCTTTAATATGACAATGCCATTCATATGTATGAGTATCTTCCGTTGAATTCATTGACGTTTATTTCCGAGTAGAAACAATCGTTTTCTGAAAATTAAGAACGGATGGTTCAAGCAGCAGTACTTGATGGGAATTCAGTCTTCCATATTTCACCATTCCTAAACTAGATTTAAGTTTAATATTTAAGCTTTACATGAATCTAGTCCATTGTAATTGACACAATCTCCTTTGGAATTGTTATATAGTTGAAAAAGACAGGCTTTTGAGTCAGTAGCCAACAGTGATTTCTGGACTATAAGTGTAGGCTTTGGGAATATACTTATTTCTGCTACAGGTCCTGCATTTCACTTATATGTTCATGATACAGTAGATAAATGTAGTCATACTTGCTATAGATACTGAACCAGCTATCAAATCTAATGGTAAAGCACACTTGATTGTGATCCTAACCCAGCTTCTAAGAATGAACCCAGCTTCTAAGAATGAAAACTTTTACAGTCTAATCCTATAGTGTTTACATACTCCAAAGTCAGTGGGTATATAACTGTAATAGAAGAGTTAATAGATGGCTGGTGTGGGTCTTCCGGGCTGTGTGGCCGTGTTCTGGAAGTTTTGTTTCCTAACGTTTCGC